GCAGCACTTCTCCAGCTTAAACGCTAGCAAGTGTCCTTCCTTACTTCTCTTCAGAACAGAGATTTAAGGGCTGCAGTTAGATGTTCAAAACCGATAGGGCATACAGGATCCAGACTTGTTTAGACAGAGGGATCATGATGAGAACAAGAGGGAGAAAAGAAAGGTGTTCTGTTGACCGAGCAGCTGAACTTTTGTTGAGTACATACAGTAAATTGTCACAATACAATAAATGGTGCTTTTCTGACAGCCAGACTTACAGTATCTTAATGAGGAATAGAGCATTTTGGTGACTACTGTAGGAAATCTGTTAAGTACAAGACAATGTAACAGCCAAACAATTACTAGAAAAGTATGGATAACTTTGTGAGGAGCATGACAGTTGCACTGAGCAATCTACTTCTAGCAAAGGAAATGGAAATGTGGTTACAGGACATTTTGTTGGGGAGTTGCACACGGTCAGCATGAAGTAGAGTACAGAAAAGCCTGACTTCCCCAGATTGGGAACTCCACGTGGGAGTAGGAGCCAGAGCCCTAAGTTAAAATGCACCAGAGAGGATATTCTGATTTTGATGCGCCTATAGAGTTAGTGAGGAACTAGCATTTCCCATTGCCTAGTTGTCAGCAGGGCCACAACGTGAAATTACACTCTTCAATGGAGTTGGAGAAGCAAGAGCTTAAGGCTTCAGGAATGCTTCTCCACTGAGTTAGACGAATGGCTTTGGACTGTGGATATTAGAAGTAAGCCCTTTTTTCAAAAAAGCTAATACCAATCCTGTATATCTACCTGTAAAAAGTGTGAATGATCCCATCTTTTCTGTTAAGGTCTAAAGGCTAGAAAGCTAACCCAGGAAGGAGGAGACATCACTTTACCCACATTCAGAATAAAACATGCGATTTCACCAGAACGTGCAATACCTACCAATAGTGAAGGCAGTTTTGGAGTAGGAGGGAAAAAACATCTTCCATATCTCCCTTTAAAGCTTTGCCGGTGGACAAGAAGTGATTTAAGATTCCCTGGGACAAGGAGGCATGACGCTGTAGTTCGATGGTTAGGATACTTATCTGAGAGAGCCTTGGGCTGTCTTTGTGTTTTATTGGCCAGCTGCAACACCACTATCTCTTAAAAGCAAGCTGTAACTTAACATCTCTGCAGAGCTTGGTCCTGTAGGAACGAGTATGGTAGATGCCGTAAGAACGCACTTACTAGACAAAGCTGAAGTGGAAGGGTAAGTATATCTACATGATTAGGCACCAGCATGAGACTGGCAGGAACTGAATCCACTCTGGAATAGGCAGAGAACTGCAGGTATCAAAACTTTTTTTTTTTTTTAATCAAATAGGGGGAAAAAAAACCCCAAACCTTAATTAGGTGACTCCAGTGAGAAGAGCCATTATCCTCTCAATAAAACCAATTAAGTTTCTGTTATTGATGGTAACAGATGCAGAGGGAGGTCTGAAGTTTGTTGACAAAATACAAGCATGGAAAATATTGGCACACAAGTGCTTTATATTTCAAGTACATCTGCAAAGAATAAAACTCTCAGAGGTATATCTGAAACTACTCAGGCACATTGTCAGCTAGGAAAGAGTAGGAACTCCCTTCTACTCAATTAGTCATACTGAAACCAGGATCAGAGTGAAGAGGTCTTGAGCTCCAAACAAAGCAATGGATTAGAAGCAGCTATTTATGTCTTTATAATAGCCTGAGATGGAAGCTGCTATTTATGTGGTGGTGCAGCAAAAACAAAAGCATTCTGATAAACATCCTCTTTCCCTCCCCGCAAAAAAAAAAAGTAGAAAAAAAGTGTGCATGTAAAAAAGGTGCAGTATATGTTTATTTAAAATAAGTACTCATACAGAAGGAAATCGATAACACATGGGAATTCAGTCAGATTCTTGCTCCCAGTTATCTTTCCCTCACAAAAAGTAATACAAGCTGAACATTAGACTTGCTATTTGGCAATGTAAACGTTGCAAAAAGAGTATGTATTTCCATTAGGAGGTACTTTGTTACATCTTATTCTTGGCTCACCTCATGTTACATGACACCCATAGTTAGAATATGACCATGAAGTTGGAGACTGCAATATTCACAGAAGTTGGACCATGCTCAAATACACTATTTTTGTAATAAAACCAAACCAAGCCTACCCACGTGTAACAGGTGAACCATCTTTAAATTAGCTGTTAAGGTTTCAACTGTAAAAGCTTACACTTTTTATTTCATTTTGAACCATACAATTCAGTCCATTACGTGAGATAATGGATCACAAAGATGAAGCAATCTGCTTCATTTTCTCTGAAGTTACAGTTCAAAAAGGTAGATATTAAAATAGCTTTACACCAAGATCCAAGAGTCTCAGTGTTTAAATTACTACTAAAACCTGTGTAAACGGTTCAAAAGGTGTTGTGCACTGACCCCTGCCAGCAGCCAAGCACCCACACAGCTGCTCACTCGCTCTCTCTCCTCCTTCCCCAGCAAAACAAGGGAGAGAAGAGGAACAGCAAAAGCAAGAAAACTCACAGGTTGAGATAAAGACAGTTTAATAAGTGAAGGAAAGAGGAAAAAACCCAAACCACCAAGTGATACAAAGGCAATCACTCACTACCTCCCACAGGCAGACTCCCACAGCCCAGCCAGGCTGCAAACGACGGCCACCTTGGAAGCCAACCCCTCACACCTTCTGCCTCTGCCCCATTTGTGCTGCAGAGGGTGACCCGATAGGATATGGAATAGCCCTTTGGCCGGTTCAGGTTGGCTGTCCCAGCTTCATCCCTCCCAATCTCTTGCCCACCCCCAGCCTACTCGCTGTGGGGCAGAGCAGGAAAAAGAGAAAGCCTTGACCCTGTGCAAGGACTGTTCAGCAACAGCTAAAACATCGGTGTGTTATCAACACCGTTTTAGTCACAAATCTAAAACACAGCACCATATGGGCTGCTATGAAGAAAGTTAACTCCATCTCAGCCAGACCCAGTACAGAAAGAAACCCCAAGAATTCAGCTATTAATCTGCATGAGATATATCACATTGTAGCTCATTATTTGGAAGCCTGAAATCAAAAGCAAGTCATGTACTGTAAAATGCTTTCAGCATATGAAACTGTGTGCCAAATTTATCAAACCTGAAAGCAGTCCACTACAGTCAATACTATTCTTAACACTTCCAGTAGTGGCTTTGACCAGTGTATGTATAAAACAAGTAAGCCTAAGGCCCTCCCCAGACATATAACTTTGTATTGGAGCTTGTGGGACTTATGTCCACGTTATTAAAACTGATCGGTTTTCCTCCTACAGTTTGGATATTGGCATTTACTGTTTACTCCCAGCAGGTTGTAAGCAGTATTGTACAGTAGATATGCATAAATAGAATCATAAATTAAAAAAAAAAGCTAACAAGGTGCTCAGAAAGGCAGCTCAATGACTTTGCCACTGCACACGAGAACTCAGTTTATGATGCTTGCTTACTCTAGTTCCAGGGGAAAAAAAAAAAATTAAATATATAACATTGGAAGCTGCAGTTTCCATGCATCTCTCTCTTCTCCTGCCCATAAGTAAACATCCTGGGAATGGAGAGCAGAAGTGATGGTCTGTGGAAGTCAGCAGTGTCTCTTCGCAGACCTCAAGAGTGTGACACTCCTCAGTGTTTGTAGAAACTGTTCATTAAATCCAAAGTAACCCAAACAACAGTATTCTCAAAGACGGTAGTTTTTATTAGTCTACCATGAAACTCACTTCTGTTAAGGGTAAAGGTGTTGAGCAGCACGAATGTTTAACCCACTGAAAGCCTTCAGGAGCTGAGAACATAAACAGTGCATAGCTTTCTGGCACTTTCAGATGTTTAAAGGCAAACGCAGTCCCTCGTTACCCCTTTGGGAAACTATTCCTCACCTCCAGAAAGTAGGTAAGTAAGATGGCCTCCATAAATAAAACAAAAAAAGGCCACTGCAGACTAAGACTGCCCACAAAAATTAACCCGTAGCACTGAGAGAAATATTTAGCAATTTTTATATGCAAAGGCCACTCCTGCCAAGCAGTAAGGCCTGCCAGTGCAGGTCAGTGCTCGCAGCTCCGCGTTGCTGGAGCTGGGGCTGCTTTGGGGCTCCAGCCCTGGGGAAAGCACCTTCCCAGCAGCTCAGGAGCTCCCCTCCGTGCAGCAAGAGCCTTCTAGGAAAGACTGGGCTCACTTACAGTCAGATTTGAGCACGAACTAAGCCAGGTTATCTGCCCAGGGATTTAAAAGTAGCATTGCTCACCGAAGGGATCTGTCATGAGCTTGAGAGGCTAAGGCACAACGAGAGTGAGCGAGCGACGCCAGGATTTTCCATGTCCAACACCACAGACCAAGAAGGCTCCAGTTCCCAGCGAGCTGAAGCCACGGTAAGGCACATGGGGGGCACAGTGAATGCTGATAACGGCAGCTGTCGAATCTAAACATGACTAGAGATCTCTTTCTAATACATGCAGGTGACCCAAATCTGGGTTCTGGGGCACAGATAAACTAAAAAAACCAAACACAACCCCACAGTTTTGTTTGAGGTATTAGAAATTTTACAGCTTGCGCACAGCTCTATCGCTTGCCACGGGCCTCGATGCAGATGTGCCAGAACCACCAGAATCGCTCAGGCTCTGCCCTGGGTAGGTGTTTCTTGGGCAGGCTTCAATCCCTTGAAAATAAGCCGCAGCAAAAGCAGCAGCCCTCGCTCCCCTTTCCTCGCTCACACCTTCCCCCCAGCAGGTCAGGCTAGCAGCAAACAGGCATAGTTTCTACTCCACAGTGCTACACAGCAAGCAAGCTCACTTCTAAATATATCCAAATAGAAGTTTCTAAACTGCAAAATAAATACAGTTCTTACTGTAAGTTACGCAGCAAAATGTAGGTTATACCTAATATTTCACGGTAAATGTAGTGTTATTTAACTTTTTTCCTTATCTTCAGTGTAGCAGATACAAGAGGCCCATTCAAACAGAATTAAGACTTCCACAGAAAGTAACAAATAAGTTTACTTTCTGGGTTTTTTACTCCCCGTCATAACGAAGTAGTGATCATCTTGCCTGCTCTTCATAGGAGGACCTTTTGACACAGCAGGCGTTCCTTTGTTACATGCCATTGCCGATTTTCCCTCAGGGAGAGGCTTCTTGGCCGCTGGGGCCAAGCTTTCATTTGCTTGCAAGTTTTTGGTCGAAGGCTGACCTTTTGTGGAAGGCTGCGCTGGCTTTTTGGTCACTGCCGCTTTGGCTGAAGTTTGAGGAAGCCGTACAACGGATAAGGGAGTGCGTTCAGGAGGTTTGGATGAAGTGGGTCCAACCTGAGGGGGTTTACTGACATTTGGCTGCTTATTGACAACCGATGATACGGTTTTGCTTGTGGATACCAGCGTAGGTGGTGACTTTGATGCTTTGCTAACTGCAAGGGAAGGTGCAGAAGCCGAGTGTTTTAGGACTGAAGCACTTTTCAGGTTCCTTGCCAGGTCAGAAGCTGTTTGTGGAGCTTTTGGAGGATGCCGAGACCCAGTTCCCGAGGTCTGAATAGCGTTTTCAGAATGAGGTTTTGCAAGGAGCTGCTGAGAATGTGCAAACTTGGCAACAGCACGCAGGTTTGTACCGGGCAGCCGAGCAGCCCTCGGAGCAACGGAATTCGCTTTGGTTTTAGGGACAGATACAGCTTTACAGTTAGCAGGGACACGCTTCTGCTTCGAAGCCATCGTTTCAGCTGTCCCAGGCAAGTCAGACGGCTGTTTTTTAGAGGACGAGAGGGCAGGATGCAGCGCTGGCGCCGGGGAGCCCTGAGGCAGGGCGAATTTCACCTTGGGAGCATCGGGGGACCGAATACGTTTGCGCAACGTTTCGGAGTGAACAAGAGCCGTTCTTGCTCCTGTGGGCGAAGATCTTTTGTTTACAGGCTGCGAAGGAGCAGAAGCTGGTGAGTTGTGTGCAGGAGACTCCAGTTTCTTGGCGGTACCAGTTAACGGTTTGAAAGGAGATTGCACGCCCGTCGCTGAAGACCCTTGTAATTTGGATCTGACTGTCAACGACTTGGCTGTGGAGGACGGAGGCACTGGCGCTTTTGGTGATGCCAGGGCAGGGGACTGAGGACGTTTAGATAAAGCCTTCTTGGCACTGGCCCCGAGAGCTGAAACAGGAGTAGGGGGTTTCGATGGCTGCTTTTGAAACATATTGACGGCTGACATGGGATTCATAATAGGAGGCTCCTGAACTCTAGCTGACGAGCTGGGGACGCTGTCACTGGTGATCCCTTTCTGAAACGCCAGGATTTTTTGTTCCAGAGTTGCAAACTGAAGAACTCGGCACGGATCATATTTAAGCAGAAAACCTTGAAGAGTGTCCCAGCCTCCACCAACACGTACCATCACATGCTTGCCATGTAGCATCTGAGAATGGAGGAAGAGGGGGTGGGAGCAGGAGAAGAACAAGAGAAATTTCTGGTTTGTTTTATGCAGCATTACATCTTCATCTGACATTAATATCTATTGAAATTGACTAAAAATAGGACCTCCTTTTGCTTAAAAAAAAAAAAGAGAAATTACGTGATAAATAACATTTATACTTCCCAATTCTTTTAATAGATAGTTTCCCCTGCAGACACAGTCATTATGTGTCAGGAAGTAATGAAAGCATACATACAGAAGACATTTTAACCGTTCTGTCAGCATCTTTATTTAGTATACAGAGGTTTGGACACAGGTTTTGTTCAAATTATGGATGTCCTTGTAACACAAACTCTTATGCCTGCTGAAGAGAGTGCTCAACTATCCTGCAAATTATAAACCCCAAGTGTCCAGATTTTGAACAAGCAATGTTCTCAGGATACTCTAGGATCATCCTTATTTATATTGCAACTCGTTACTGAAATTTTGGAAACACCACAGGCAAGCATTAACTTAGTTTGGTGTGGTTGTAAAATCAATGGTTGTAAGATCTAAGTAGCTACACCTACATTGAATAGGGGACTGGATGACATGGTGTCCCACTGTAAATCATTCTGTCATTCCAAAACCATACCATAAAAATGAGGTATTCTACTTAAAAGCCTTTCTCTCCCCATTATGAATATAAATTGGAATTCTGAAAAACTACTTACTCTTATGAAAAGTATTTTATCTCCCAGCCTGTAACGTCCCTCTGATAAGTATTCAATTGAAAATCGATGGGAACAACTGCAGGGAGGATCTTCTGCTATATGTTTAACCTAGTTATTAAAATTGAAAGCATTTCTTAGTATTTTGACAGAGGCATGTATTTAACAGTTTATTGAGATATTTAATAGAAGAACAGAGACTGATATATTCATCCCATAATCTAAGGAAAAACTAGAATTCTATTCCCTCCCAAGAAAATACCAGCTACATAGGGCTTCAAAATGTAGGATAAAAGATTAAAAGAGAGAACAAACAGTATACACAAATATTTTGATTTGTTCTAATCCAATTTTCATGATTTCTTCAATTTTAAATTATTTCTCCTTTCGTTTTTAAGCTTTGTCCATAACACTATGCACAGTAGCATCAATTCCAACCACAACCGTGTAAAGACACTGTTATGGTCTCCAGAAATTGAAACAAGTGCCTGGGTCTCTTCTGTGACCAAATCCATTGCCACACCTGACCCAGGGCTACTTCAGCATTCTCCTTAACCTTTTGTAAGGCTTTTAAGTTAACCTTCTATGTGACACCCAAGAAGGAAACCACTGAAAAAAGGAGAAAGGTAGTCCCCAAATAAGTCCAGGGTTAGAGAAGGTGTGCCTCTAACAGCCACTTAGAAATTTAACAAATTGGAAAGTCAAAACTATTGCCAAGCAGGGAAAATAGTGAGAGTTTTCAGAGAGAGTGAGGATCTGGTGGCTGACGTTCCCAAAGAAGTAGTAGTTTTACATTACAACACAGAGGACCTTTAAAATAAATGAATTTTAAGGTCTCAACATGCATTTTTGAGCAAAATAGGAAAGTTGTTCATCATCCCTCTTGGGTCAATTCACAAGATGTACACATCATTTCCTTTTCTGCATACATATTCATTTCCAAGTGGTACAGCTACAGAGGTTTTATTTAAAGTCTTTTCCAAAAGAGTTTCATCAAAGCTTACTTTAACATTTGATGAAGTTTTATGAAAACATCAAACTGAAGAGAAGCATATGTTACAGTTGTAGAATATTGACACACCAGAAAAATTGAATGAGAGTATTTCTTAGACTCAAAGAAGAAATGAAGGGCCAGGGGGGCAGTCAAGGCAAGTTATATGCACTGAAGCATTAACTCCAAAACATATAGGACAGCATTTTGCTTACATTTTCAGAAGAAAATAGTTGTTCAAAAGAGGTGCATACCCTTCTGTTTTCTATTTAAGGAGGCTCACAAATATTAAATGAAAACCAGCCTATGCTTACTGAGCCAGATCATACAAGTACTAAACTTAAGAGTTTGATGTAGAGCCCACATCACCATAAATAAGTAGTACTTACTGCCTCATCTAGCTCCCCATGGTGACAACATGGCTTTGCTGTGCTAATAGGTGATGGTGGTCCAGAGGTCATCAGCAGTGTTTCTTCTAGCTCAATTTCCTTCTCTAGTTTTACTAGTACAGGAGGTTCAACTCCATACCTCAAATACAAAAGTAGAGAGTTTAATTGCTAATTTACTAAAGAACAAGAAGAAACAGACGATGATAAACATGCAAAATTCTGAGCGGCTTGACTGACAGGGAACAGCACTAAATCAGTCGTAGGAATAACTGCCTTGATAATCCAAAGAAAAGGAGCAGCTCTGAGTTTCTAGTAGAAACCCTTCCTAAGGTGGTCTTGGAGCTGCCATTCTCTGGTACATTACTGCCTTCTCAGCAGTAAAAATATTGTCAAAACCACACAATTTAGGTCACATCCAATTTAGATAAACTATCTTTAAAGCTTCCAGCTCTGCACTAGAAATAAATTAAAAGTCTAAATTTAGAGAATGATAAAGAGATACCTGCCAAAAAGCTTAAAAAATAAAAACATTAAAACTGTATTTAATGTTCAGTGAGTTCTTCTAAGATGTACACATACCTATAAGCTGAATGTAGCATTTAAACATACAGCTATAAAAAAGCAGTGTGGATCAGCACCTCTCCATAAAAAGAGTCTGATAAATATTTGAAAAAATACTCATATTGCACAATGATCCATTGCAATTAATGACTGCAGATTGTCTTATCTTTGTCTTAGCTTTTACTTAACAGAATGTGTTCTTCAATTTCTTGTTAGGAGCATGTGGAGATCACATACCTGGATACAATGCGCCCAATTTCCAACAGACAAAGATAGACTTGTCTTGGATCCTTGTGTAACACTAAAAGGGAAGAGAATAAGAGGGAATTACAGCTCATACTCTACTGTGGGGAGGCCTGTGCAGTTAGGTACAGAGAAGGGAAGACAAAGAATAGAGGACTATAACTTTGCCATCATTCTACCCAGAGGCAAGCTACATTATCATGGATAAAACTCTATATGCTTTCCAAATCTAATATTCTGTTCCATAAAGTGTTTAAACCCATCCTGACACTCCTGAAATCAAACTCTTCTCTACCTCTTAAGAGAAATACACATTATTTTGTTTTATGCTGTTCCTTCTTGATGTGAACCGGAAAGAAAGAGATCTGAGAGTTTTCCCATCCCTATCTCCAAATACATTATTGCACTCTTAAAGATGAAAAGAATTTAACAACTGCAAATAGGAAAATATAGTCCATCTGTTCATGCTCGTGCATGCAGACACAGATAGGCACACACACTCTACAGGTGAAAAACCGCAGGAGAATACGCTGCAAGGGACCTAGGTGACAAGTGGATTGCTATGCAGCCAGTCAGCACGAGTGGTTTGCACCCTTGGCTGTGAAAGAATAATCCGGGTCATTGTTACCATTTCAGTAAGCAACAGACCTTTTTTCTTCTCACTTTAAAAGTTCCGGGTGCCAGCAGGGTCCATCCATATGGCAGATTCACCCAGTTCCACGAGACGATACCACTTCGCCAGTGGCAGCTCCCCTACCCCATGCTATACCCTCATTTCACCTCTCCCTATCAGCCCCCCCTCCTGCCCCATCCACCCAGAGCTTTTCTGCAGAATTGGGTATCTTTGTGAGGCTGTATCTGAAAAGGATCGTCAAAACCCCTGACCGAAAGGAGGTGGCGAGAATGACGTTGGTTTAAGAGACAAACACTCAGACAGCCAAACAGTGTGAAGATGACTGTCACAAGTCTTCTGGGTTTGCTTGACAACTTTGGAATGAAAACATTCAATTATTTCTACTGCCGCACTGAAGAATGGAAGAGGCAGAAGGAAAACAGTGTCTGTTTTGGTTTCTTGAAACTTCCATCTTTAGGTGTGCAAGGAAAAGGAAAAAGAAACAAGGCCATGAACAGAGAAAGAAAATAGTGTAAAATCTCACGCACAAGCAACTACTTCCTCCTCTGTCCCCACACAAGCCTCAAAATTGAAATGCTTTCAACACGTTCTAAGAACAGTTGTATGAAAGTTTTAGAAAACAAACCATCCCTGTGCTTTCTTAGCCAACTAGGAATACTGCCTAATAACTCAGAAACCAAAGGCTGGGAGAAAGGTCATTCATCTCCCCTCAACCTACACACAAGGCGCTGTTCTTTCCCCCACCAACACCAAGTATAAGAAATGGGAAAAGCTGTAGATACAATTTTCGTATGATATAACATTTATATGAACAAGTCTGGCTTTCTTCACACCCTGCAGCAACAACATTCAGTAGAAACTGGAAATTCACTCTGAAGAGAGAGCTAATGAGCCAGCTCTATGTTTAGAGATGAAATCTAACATCCTTCTGATGTTCAATTTGATATTTAAAACGACTTTGCTTTAAATAAGACTGAAGTGTTTCCTAAAGTATAAGCTGAGTATGAAGTCAGATGTTCTTGTTTACATCATCTACTCCAGTTTGTAAGTCTATTTTTTAAAATAGATTATTTTATAGATTATGAAGGGTAAATCTAGAACAGAAAGTCGACACAGCCATAATCTAAAAGGTACTAGACGTCATTTAATCCCTTTTTTGTGCATGTGTTTGTCAGCTGTAACAGAAGGGGTATAATTTCCCTGAATCCAGAAGAGAAAAATCCAAATATACCCCTAGCAGAGACCAAGACATTTGTTTTGGCTTGATGTCAAAGGGCATCCCATGATGGCTACTCTCCTTTTCTGCTGTCTCAGGAGCCACTTTATTTCGTTCACAGCCATCCACACTTTTCAGGAGGTGTTGCTATACGTATCTGATAGGGAAAAGACAATTGTCAAATTGTCTTTCCCTTATTTCATTCATAAAGAATGGCTTGAAAGTTTGATGGAGAACATCAGTGGCAAGAATGTTTCATCAAGGAGGCTGCAAGTCTGCTCATTTCAACTGCCAAAAAGGCTCACAGAAGATATTTATGCCATAAAGCAAGCTTGTGTCAAGAGTTACAATCAGACTTCAAAACACTTCTTTGGCTACAAGCAAAAGCCACAGCATTAGGAAATCCTGTCTGCTTATCTCAGGGAAGCTAAACAGGTTCTAGTTACCCATCCACTCACAGGAACAAAGATGTTTAAGCAATGCAATTCATACAAGTTGAACTGAAAAAAATACTAAAACTAATTTTCTTATAGCTCAGTTCTCCTACTTATCTGTATTTCATGGCACTGAAAAAAGGTACACTCACTAGTTTAATCAGAATGAGACAGATGCAAATGAGGATGTTTTCTCAATTATTTTAAAAGATGAATTATCCACTACAGAAAGCATGGGCAGTCCAACTAGCAGGAAGAAGAGCTTGAAAGTAAAGCAGTTAATGAAAACAGTGCCTCCCATGTAAATAGCATTAAATGGCACAAAGACTTCAAGAAAATCTAGTAGAGATTGCGATGAATTCATTTGATTATGGAAAACAAAGGTACTTTGCAATTTTTTTGCTATTCTGCTGACAGGCAGATATTTTGCCTTTTTTTAAAAAAAAAAACAAAACAAAAAACATAACAGTATTTGGCTTGCCACAGAAAGGTTTGCATTAATTAATTTTTACTGACATAATAGCTGGTAGAAGAGCATTTCATTATTTACCATGCGATGAAAGCACAATTCCTCTTAATTAGCCGTCAAAAAAATTTTATTCCATCTGGAAGTATCAGTCTAGAAGCTGTTTGTTACGAAGGACAGACTGTGCACTGGGGCAGGCATACACACAGTTGGCAATATTTATTTTTATAACTATCTTATTAAATGGGAAAACACAAATGGTTTAGAGTCATGTCAAGTAGGTCCTGAAGTAAACGTTAATTACCAACAGACTGTTGCCACTTCAGGCACAACGCCCTGATGTAGTGACCAAATTTAGCAGTCATGAATGCATTATTCTGAGGGCCTTCTGCAACAAGAATGAGCTCTAATACCAAATAAAGGATCTTATTGTGAGTTGACTCCATGGCCCTGTGGTCTTCCCACACAGGGAAAGCAAAACCACGCTTTTCCCCTCTGTTTCTCAGCGGGCCTTTTTACTGAAGGAAAACATGCGAGTTTGCTGCCCAGCTGTCACTCCCCTCTTCATCCCGCATGGCAGCTTTTAGAAGTTTGGAAAAGCATCACGCAAGGTAGAGAAGTCACTGAACTGATTTGTCAAGGTTTTTACTTGAATGCTGCCTTAAGATAAATAAAAGCATTAATAGCTTGGAAGAGACAGGCATAGTCGTGACAAAGGTTTCAAAAGACTAAACACAAGAGATCTCCCTGACCGGGTAGTTAGCCACATACAGATCAAAGCAAAGCTTACAAAAAGCTAGATTTACCTAAACCTTCAGATTCAAAGAGGTAAGTCTCATCAACTCCAATGGCCCTACACCAGTTAAGAAAGTTGGCTGTATTATCTCTGGCAAAAAAAGATCCTGATGGAGCATCCTTCTTACACGGAACTTTTCTCATAGGAAAATTCTGGCAAGGGAAGAAAACAAAAAGTACATTGTGCACATCAACATTGCCAACAGATTTCAAAGCATATTTGCAAAGGAAAATAAATAGTGAATTCAGAGCACAGAAACAGCGGTTAGTAACTATTTTGTGTCACTGAGTGAACAATCCTTAGCTCTGCAGCCTCTCCCAAAGCTGCTATGGACAGTTGCTTCCCCATTTCCCCATATACTGGGCTAAAAGTCTTAGTGGTGGTTTCACAGGTCTACACAGTTATTCCTCGCTCCCAAGCTCTGTTCACAGCAGTAGAATAAGCCCAGAGAGAGAACCTCAAATCAACTAAACTGTACTTGGCTGCCAGATTTCAACATTTTAGAGCCCATTCTAGAAAGCAGAGGGAATCAAAAGGAAGCAAAAGGCAGTTTCCTTTAAAACAATTCAGTACTTTCTTTGTTTTTAAACTGGTATCTTCAAAACTAAACAAACAGTCCAAAGGTACACAAGTTGGGCATCTTGTCCTCCTTAAAAAAACCCCTAAGGATTTGCAGCATTTATATTAATACCATTTGGCATCCTAACACTGCTGTCTTGTCCCACCCTCAGTTAATAATAATTTGAATATTAGTTATTGTATTATCAGTAAATATCCATTATTTAAAACTACTGGTTTACTGGATAAAACAGTAGAAGGTAAACACACCAAAAAGAAATAAAAATGGTCTGGATATGGTGAAACAGTTCCACTTGCCCCAAAGGGAAGCACTACTAATTAGGGCACATTAGCTGGTGATCTACTATTTGACAAATCCAAGCGTTGCTGTAGCTGTACTGGGTACCTGTGCATCGAACACATGCTACCTGCACCAGCCTTACATGGTTTTATACTCCAGAGTGACACATCACTATTTTTCATTGTACAAACACAGACTGCAAGTTGCTTGAGATTCACATTTCAGCTCAGCCTTGGTTCCTAACAAAAACACTGAAGCCCATCTCCAGGTACATCTCAATATGGGTATTTTCATGGCTAACCTATATACTAGAGTTTAGCCACCAGTTGCTGGAACAAAACATTCCACCAAGTGCCCAAGGATGTCTTGTCCAACCGACACTGACATTATCAGGGGAATAAACTCCAGACTTGGACTAGGTCTTTCTCTGGCAAGACTTCTACTGAAATCAAACTAAAAAACTAGTAAGGGCATTAGGATTTGACTAACAAAGTGCATAAGTCATTTGTTGCGTAAGGACAGTTTATCCATCTATAACGCCAGACTTGTTAATCCGTCTCTGGATGCACAGCACACGGAATGTCGCTTCGGGAAGCCTCACTCACCTGCCTTCCTTTTACTACTACTTACCATTAAAGACTTTATATATGTATTAAAAAAAAAAAATCACAATATGACTCACCCTTAAGTTATTTGAGCTACAACATTTTTTAATTGTGTTTTGAAGAACACCAACCAATTGGCAGAGTAATACCCCATTATCGAGTTCTTCTAGCAGTTGTTCTGCTTTGATTTCGATTCCTAAAAAAAGAAGGTCAATATTAGAGTTACTCCACAGCAGGTAAAGAAGTTTCATGTGAACTTAGAGGCAACTCAATCAGCATTCTATTCATCATATAATTTACTACAGTGTTAAAGACTGAAAATTAGTAGAAATATAAGTAAATAAAATCAAATATCGCCTTAATTAGATTTTAATTAGACTAACAAGATTCAGAAATATAAATTAGAACGATTAATCATCTTACCTCTAAGAGGTGGCAGCTAATAAAAACCTGAAACCGAAGCACGCATTTTAATGCGATTCTCCTAGCCATTCAGGCTCAAATACACCAGATCTTAATAGTATTATAGATATTCAGTGTCAGCACTGACTGGAATATTGGAAAGCGCTTTGAAATTTATTAGGCAGTGATCTATTTTTAACCTCACCCAGCAAGCCAGACAGCCAGATCGACAGATCTTCTTGCATAGGCACCAGAGTTGCTTCATGCCGCACAGATATCCACTGGTCGTACAGGCACACATCTGCCAAACCCGGCCCGTGTCTGGGCGTCAGGGGACTCCGGGGACTTAAGGGAAGGTCGTCTCCAAACCACACCTGCAGAAGATTCCAGAACGCCGAAGACGGCGAGCTCCAATATTTGCAGTCAGATGACGAAAACCTGCAGTGCTGAACTGTGCTAAAGATCTATTATTCAAAGAGTAAGTGTTCATTCCTCTTCAGATACACCAAACCAAGACAACAGTCATCACCAACGGGGCACCTCTCGTTAGTAACTCCCGTATCAAAAGTACTACTACTTTCGTTCTCCTGACTTCTTTGGATTTAAAACTACATATTTTCCTGAATATTAAATACAGAAAAAAATGCATTAAATTTGTGGGTTTTTTTTCCTCAGCACGTTTTGAGTAACGAAATCTGCAGTTTATCACACAATTTACTACAGACTACTGATTTCTCTGATCAAACATTTCACATGCATTTTGTGTTTAAATCATTAAAATGATGTTGTTAAAAAAGGAAACATATTCCCATGCAACAACACAACACACTTCTGAACATGAATCCTTAGCATTTCTCTTAAGGATTGCTTATTTTCAAACTGAGAGGTACCGTTACATTTCAAGAAAAGGACCACACTGAAATTTCATTTACAAAATCCCCAAAGAGAAAGAGTCCCTCTGGTATTCTTAACTACTTGCTTTTAGATCAGGAAGTATGTGTGCTTGCAAAGTACATTTATTTATATTTGAGTGATTAACTAGAACATAGGGGTTTTAAAAACACCTCTTAATCATCAAGCAAGTTTTTAAATAATCTCAGCCTTTGACTTCAAAACCTTCTTAGGTAATAGCACTTAGAAAGAGAAAGGATAACCTGCCTGATCTAACGCTGGGTTATCTATCTTGTCACATTGCTCCATTTGTAAAATGGGAAAACTATTACTTTTTTTTTTTAACTAGAGATAACTCTGGGGACTCTAGCATATCATCTGCTTCAGGGTAGATTTTTGTAATAAAAAAAAAAAATGTATTACACAGCATTCAAACATTACCAAAGGCATTTACCTGAACTGCATTCTGCATGGTCACCTGCATTTACATTAGTTTCTCCCCCTGGGGAAAGAGAAGAGAATCTTTAATACCATCCCTCCTGCTTTCATGAAAATCCCAAGAAAAACCCACCGGTGCTGTTCTGGAAAAATAAGAACAAGTTGAATCGGGAATGGAGGGGGAAAGAGGGAAGTACCTTAGCAGCTCAGGTTTTGATCCAGTATTCAGTCAACTTCAGTTCTCTGCCCTTAAGTAAAGCAGCAGTTATTACAGCACAAAGTAGCAACTAACTTCGTATGCATAAATAATACTCAAAAGTTTGCATGATTTTAAGGAGCTGCAAGGCATTTACTTTGCCAAAGAGAAATATAAATACTTCAAAACATTCCTGGATTTAACAGTGTTGGCATTCAGCCTTTCCTTCTAAGCTATCACAAGTGTATCTTGTACATGCATGCATACAGACATATGCATCCTGAGTTTACATTAAATACTTTGAAGATTATGAAAATCTTAAAGCAAGGAAATAATTTTGAAGAATGAGATTTCTTCTTGCATAGATACATGACAGAAATCAATGTTTTTATTAATTTCTGTTGGGATTTTGACTTGCCAGGCAGCTAGCACACACCTATGGTTTCAACAGACTGCTGCAAACTATTCCAGCAATATGGTTATCAGGACAATTCCCTGGCAAAACAATCCTTAAGGAAAGTTTTAGCAGAAACCTGGTCAACCCTTTCTCTCCTGAAGCCAACACAGTATTTTCCAGCAATGCTTTCAATTATGGGAAAACCCAGCACAAACTCTACACGGGGCTGGGCATCACTACGTCTCTCCATGCAGGCTCCAGGTCTAGAGATGCACAGTTACTACCAGGGTAGCTGCGTACACGTACCAGAAGGAATTTTCTTAGCATAAGTCTCCACAGTGATAGTGGAAGGCATTACAACCTCAAAATGTATCTATCTGTGTCTTAAAGCCAATTAAAAACAACTTTCTTGCTCCTTTACTTAATAACTGCAATAAAACTTCATCTGATTAAGCTGGAAACCAGATTGCAGACATTGTCAGACAGTTTTAACTCATCTGTTTTCCTTCAAAAATAAATAACTTCCCTCTCCTGTCCCAGATGTTTAAGCTTTATTCGTAGATGGCATTCTTCTCTCCTCCTCCATCTGTTGCACAACCTGGCCTTCCTACACAAAAGGCCAAACAGCCCATCACAGAAGACCCAGTTCTCATAAAAATTCTCCCCCTTCCTCTTACCCAGAAAGCAGAACGGTGCTGTTTCCTCCCCATTTCTCCCTCCCACACTACATAGGGCCACACATGTCAGGCATTTCAACCAACTTACCTCTACGACCAGCAAATAAGCAACCAGTTTGTTTTTGGGCTGAAGCCACTTCCTTGTACCAGGACTGCTAGCACTTCTCAAACGTTATCAGAGACACTCCAAGTGATATCTTTCCCCCTCCTTTTATTTCTAGGGGGGAAAGAAAAAAAAAAGAGGAGACATCGTCTCCTTGATGTCATTTTTCCTTCTATGAATGAACAAGGGAAGGGCAGTGTATATACCAAGCATTACTAATGAGCATGTTATGCTTCCCACAGCTTTGTCCAGGGGAATACATTTTCCTTTGGCATAAGAAAGCTATTGTCTCAAGAGAGTTGCAGTAAGAGGCTTCATTGATTAAAAAAAATAAATAAAACAGCAGAACAGCCAGTAGAGAAGTTGGTCTCATTAAAATAAGGAGCTCCATATAGGCTAACAAGAGCTCTAGCATACTAACTGCCAAGTGAAAACAAAAGGCAGCCTAATTCACAGGGAGGACTCAAAACACGAACAAAGCAAAATATTCACACAACAGCTATCACAAGAATGCTCAGCATCTGCAGTTTTGTGGCATGCCTAACAAAAACTAGTCTTAAAAAAAAGGAAAAATAAAAATAAAAAAAAGATTGGGAAAAATTGTGGCATTTGAACTTGAAGGGCCTGCTCTTCTAAAACAAGTTATTTTGTAAGCCCATATGCCAAAGGGCTCTCTAGAAAGTCAAACAGCTTCGCTCACTGACAGGGCATCTAAATAACACTTAACAAAAACCCCTCTGACGATACAGACTACCCTGCATGAGTTTTGAGTTGAGAAATTAATATAGTAACAATTACCCATTTTCAGATCCCAAACAGTCCAGCTTTGAGATCGCAGGGAATACAGATTAATGTAGCCTTATCACTTACAGGGAGAGGCGCGGGACGAAGTCTGGCACCTTCAAGTCGTCAGCCTGCAAAGGTGCAGAAGGTGCTGTGGTGAGGCAGATACGGCAGTACCAGGTAGAGTCATAACCAAATCTGACTTCTAAAACCAGTTGGGTTCCCTGCATCAAAAAGCTGTACATAATGAAGCAAGTATTTGATATTGAATTCAGGCAGCTCCAGCTAGAAGCATATCAGTTTCTACACCTGCCAGTTTTATCAACTCACCTTCATTCAACAGGTATTTGGTGTTCAGGGATCAGAGTCAAGAAAGAAAAGACCCCGGAATGAAAATGGACTGTATCGTGTCCCATACGCAGCCTCAGGCCATGCCATTCCCATTTCCAGGCCAGCTGATATCCCCAAGGTCCCTGGGAGGGCTCTCTACCCCCTTCTACCCCCTAAAACAGGGGAAGCACCAGAAAGCAGACACCGATTTACTGCCAGACGGGCGGTCAGCCCCAAATGATGTACTGGGGAAGGCAGGAGCTGCCTTCGGCTGGCCAACTGTCCAACCTCCAATAAAGGACCAGAGCTATGGATCAATGTCAGGAAAGAGGTGAGAAAAACGTACCTATCTACTGGCACGTGGCGTAGGGACAAGCATTTCTCAGGAAAGGGGGTGCAGACACATCCCACACCTCACCCGCACAGGACAGCCTTGTGAGGCCATAGTCTGCCTCTGCTCTCCGGAGAGATGCCCGCCACCGTGCCCCCAGGCACCTGAGAAACAGCAAAGTCAGCAAATACTAAAGCACTTTACGCAAATACTTCAGGGTGCCAAACACACGCTCTTAGATGCTACATGAGATAGACTGCTTACTATCAGTTGTATCAGGTTTTACAGATCATTCACTGGGGCCCAACCAGCAAGACACACTACACTAATTACAAGCCATACTGTAGCACGAGATGAACCGAGTCCAAGACCCATTTTACTTGACTGCACAGTTTACAAAGAAACAAACAAACAAAAAAGATCCACAACTCCACAGATACCTAAAACATAGATGAAGTGGCCATTAACCCAGCTTAAGTGGAACCTAAAGGGATTCACAGACTCATTAAAAAGCCTTGGGTTCACAGACTCATTAAAGAAACCTTGGGTAGAAACACTTTTACATCTTCACCCTGTATTTAAGATATATAACACATCATCTTCTATTCCATCAACACCCAAAGGCAGTCACAACAGACTAACCCAGAACAGCTGGAAACTGTAGATTAGTCTTGACAGTACCTACCGAGACCGATGTTTTTGAACACTCCGAAATGAAAGAAGCTGTCAAGTCAGTATCTGTTGAAACCTATCACAGTATAGCCAAGATTTTTTTTTGGTACACATATCCTAACATGCAGAAGAAAAGAGGTAGGCACAAGAAGAGACATCCACAGAGCGCTGCTCTCTCCGTCACTACAGCAATTACAGAGCCCTTTTGTTGCATTACTGAGTCAGCAGGTGCTCTGCTTCCCTGGGGAGGCCTCAGAGGCACAAAAGAGAAAGAACCAGACTAGTCAGTCCAAGGTGATGGGCTTTAAGGTGGCAACCAACTCCTTACATCAAGGCTCGCCGACCGCTCTCCTCGGGGACTGCCTTTCCGCACCTTTCGGTGCCAGCACGCGGCACCGAGCCCGCGAGCCCCTTCCAAAGGGCGGCAAAGGCCTTGGGTTCCCCTGTCGGGCAAAGAAACCCACCCGAAATCAGGGAGGAGCACTCCATCCCAACAGCTGGCGTCTCCGCAGGAGACGTGCCGACGGCTCCTTTACCACAGGGGCATCCAGTCTGGGGAGAGGCCGGTTAACGCCGCACGTGTTAGCCCGGCCGCTCGCTCACGTTCACAAACTCTGCCCTCCCGTTCCCACCCCACGCTTCTTCCAGCAAAGCCGCGCTGAGGGGAGCATCGCTCGACGCTCAGGCAGCAGGCTGGCCACAGGCGGGAGGAGTTTGTTATGACTTGAATATAAAACCTGTCCTATTATGAAAGATCCACCCAGTACATTTAGAATTACGAATGCACGGGCCAGCTATGCCTTATAGGTCCTAAAGGTATACATGTACTTTTTCCCATGTCTTGATCTGATACTATGCCAAAGGTGACACACAGCATCCCTGGAATACAGCCAGCTTTTGGGCAAAGAAAGGAGCCAGACGTTTTTTCGGCTTACTAAGCAATATGAATGAGTATTTTAGCCAAGAGCACTAGGGCAAATCTCCTACAAAAACAGCACCGCATCCTCAAACGCTTGCGTGAGGCACAGGAGAGACTGGATTGAAGGCTGTTATGCAAAAAACCCTCCCCTCTCCCTTCCCCAGGGTGAGTTTCCCGGCACTTCGCTTCCAACACCCGTACCAGAGAGGCTAAACCGCGCCGGGTGGGAGCTGCCGCCCCCCGAAACGGGCACCCAGCCGGCCCCAGTAACGCGCTTAAACCCCAGACCGGCCTCTACCCCCGCGACCTGCGAGGCTCAAACCCGTTTTACAGCGCTCGCCCCTACAGACGGGCGGAACCGACCGAACGCCGCAAGCTCCGCACCGACCCTTACAGCCGCGCCCGCGCTTCTCCACGGCTCGGGCGCCCCTCATCTTCA